TCGTTTCATTTCTGGAAGCTCCTTCTTCATGTATTTTGCAGCCTTCTCATTAGGTATATACATATTTAGGATTGTTATGTCTTGGCAAATTGACCCTTTTCTCGTTATGCACTTCCTCTTAACTCTCTTGCTCTAATTATTTGATTCTGAAGTCTGCCTTTTCTGATATTCATAAAGCCACTCCTGCTTTCTTTTGATTAGTGTTTGGATGGTGGGTCTTTTTCCATCGACAGATCCATCCAGTTCATTGGCCTGGGTGGCTCAGTGGTTGAGCATCTGCCTTTGGCTCAGATTGTGATCCCAGGGTCCTGGGATCAAGTCCCATATCAGGCTCTTTGCGGGGAGCCTGCTTCTCCCTCTGCCTCTCTGTCTCTCATGAATAAACAAAATCTTAAAAAAAAAAACTTTAGGTTTTGTTAACTTTTCTCTGTGATTTATTTTCTAATTCAACCCACTGAGCCACCCAGGCACCCGTACACACTAGTTTTATCTGCACACCACAAATTTTGAGATGTTGCATTTTTATTATCATTCAGTTTGAAATACTGTCTAATTAGCTTCTTTTAAAAAATTTTTAAAAAGATTTTATTTATTTATTCATGAGAAACACAGAGAAAGAGGCAGAGACATAGGCAGAGGGAGAAGCAGGCTCCCTGTGAGGAGTCTGATGCGGGACCCCATCCCAGGACTAGGAGATCACGACCTGAGCCAAAGGCAGACACTCAACCACTGAGCCACCCAGGCGCCCCCTTGTCTAATTTCCTTCTGATTTCATTTTTGTACCATGGGTGATCTAGAAGTGTATTGTTGAATTTTTAAATTTTGGGGGTTTTTCTAAGTATCGTGTACAGTTATTAGTTTCTAATTTAATTCCTTTGTGGCTAGTGTACATGCTTTGTGAAATTTCAGCACTTGAAATTTTCCAAGAATTGTTTTATGACCCAGCAAATGGTTTATCTTGATTAATATCCTATGTGCACTTAAAAAAAATGTGTATTCTACAATTGTTGAGTATAGTGTCTTATGTGTCAGTTAGATCACTGTGGTTGGCAGTGTTGTTCAGTTTGTTCATACTCAGACTAATTCGGTGTCTACTTTTTATTTTGGTTACTGTGAGGGATGTTAAAATCTCAACTCTAATTGTGGATTTATTCATTTTTACCTTGTGTTTCTGTTTCATGTATTTTGAAGGTCTTTTATTAGGTACATATTTGCAATTACCTTGCCTTTTTGATGTATTGACCCTTTTTTTAAATCATCATGAAATGATAAAATCCTATTTATCCTAGATAATACTCCTTGTCTTAGAATCTGTTTTGTTGGGGGCGCCTGGGAGGCTCAGTGGGGTGAGTGTGTCTTGATTTCAGTTCAGGTCATGATCTCAGGGCCATGGAATTGAACCCCACATTGACTCCACACTCAGCAGGGAGTCTGCTCAGGATTCTCTCTTCCTCTCCCTCTGCCCCTCCACCAGCTCATCTGCACACACACACACTCTCTCTCTCTCTCACATAAATAAGTGAAATCTTTAAAAAAAAAAAAAGAATCTATTTTGTTTAATATTAATATAACCACTTGAGCTGGTTATGATTAATGCTTATATATCTTTTTTTGATATATCTTTTTACTTTCAACTTATTTTTCTCATTTTATTTATAAAGATGTTATTTATTTATTCATGAGACACACAGAGAGAAAGAGAGGCAGAGACACAAGCAGAGGGAGCAGCAGGCTCTATGCAGGGAGCCTGACGTGGGACTTGATCCGGGTCTCCAGGATCATGCATGCCCTGGGCTGAAGGCGGCGCTAAACCGCTGAGCCACCTGGGCTTCCCAAGATTTTATTTATTTGAGAGAAAGAGAAAGACAGAGAGAAAGAGAGAGAGAGAGCCTGTGAGTAGGGGGAGGGGCAGAGAGAATCCCAAGCTGACTGCCTTGGGATGAGTGTGGAGCCTTATGGAGGACTTGATCCCACAACCTTGAGATCATGACTTGAGCCAAAATCAAGAGTCAGACACTTAAGTGACTGAGACACCCCGGTGACCCTCTCACCCTCTCATATTTAAAGAACATCTCTTATAGACAGACATAAATGGATCTTGCTTTTTAAAATACAGTATGACAATCTCTGCCTTCAAATTGGAATATTTACTCCATTTTCATTTAATATAATTATTAATACAATTGAATTTAGGGCTGAAATTTTATGTTTTCTATTGCTTTTTTCTCATGTTCCTCTTTTTTTGCCTTCTTTTGGGTTAATTCAAAATTGAATATTTGTTTTTATTCATATGTACATTTTTTTTTTAGTTATAACTTTTTGCTTCTTTTCTTAATGGTTGCTCTGGGGATTCCAATATGTATCTCCAGCTTGTTAGAATCTACTTAGAGGTAATATACTTCATTTTGAATACGGGAAAATAATTCCCTCTTTTGTTCTAACATACATTATAAATCCCACAACACAGTGTTATAAATTTTTCTTGTTTTAAAAAAGATTTTATTTTTAAATAAGCTCTACACCCAATGTGGGGCTTGAACTCACAACCCTGAGATCAGGAATTGCATGTTCCACTGACTGAGCCAGCCAGGTGCACCTAAATTTTGCTTTAAACAGTCATAATATTTAAAATAATCAAGAGGAAGATATTTTTATTTAGAAAATTTTTAAAGATTACTTATTTATTTACTCATGAGAGACATACAGAGAGAGGCAGAGACATAGGCAGAGAGAGACATCTGTGGGAGCCTGATGTGATACTTGATCCTAGGACCCCGGGATCATGACCTGAGCTGAAGGCAAATGCTCAACCACTGAACCACCCAGGCATCCCAGGAAGATATTTTTAAAAAATATCTATTTATTTATTTGAGAGAGAGAGAGAGAGAGAGAACAAGTAGGAGGAGCAGAGGGAGAGGGAAAAAGAATCCCAAGCAGACTCCATGCCAAGAACAGAACACACTGGGGGGGCTTGACTCCATGATCCCAAAATCAGGACCTGAGCCCAAACGAAGAGTGGATGCTTAACCAACTGCACCACCCAGGTGCCTCAAGAAGAAGAAGGATAGGGATCCCTGAGTGGCTCAGTGGGTTCAGCACCTGCCTTCCACCTGGGGCATGATCCTGGAGTCCCAGGATCGGGTCCCACGTCAGGCTCCCTGCATGGAGCCTGCTTCTCCCTCTGCCTGTGTCTCTGCCTCTCTTTCTCTCTGTGTCTCTCATGAATAAATAAATAAATAAAATCTTTAAAAAAAAAAGAAGAAGAAGGATATTTTAAGAATATATTTGTATGTATATATGTAAAATATGTATATATGTGTGTTTATATGCATATGTATGTGTATCTATATGTCATTTCCTTTTAGCCGGAAAAACTCTCTCTAGCATTTACTGTAGTGCATATCTCTTTGCTGATGATGAATTTTCTATTTTTGTTTATCTAAAAGTGTCTTTATTTAGCTTTCATTTTGAAGGCTATTTTTATTGGACCTAGAATTCTGGGTTGACATTTTTTTCTTGCAGCATTTTAAAAATGTTGTTTCAGGGGATCCCTGGGTGGCTCAGCGGTTTAGCACCTGCCTTCGACCCAGGGCATGATCCTGCAGTCCTGGGATCAAGATCTACATCAGGCTCCCTCTATGGAGCCTGCTTCTTCCTGTGCCTGTGTCTCTGTGTCTCTGTCTCTCTCTGTCTCTCTGTCTCTGTCTCTCATGAATAAATAAATAAAATATATATATATTTTTAAAAACCCTGACACGTTCAGAGGTTTTGTTTTTTTTTTTAAATTTTTATTTATTTATGACAGTCACACAGAGAGAGAGAGAGAGAGGCAGAGACACAGGCAGAGGGAGAAGCAGGCTCCATGCACCGGGAGCCCGATGTGGGACTCGATCCCGGGTCTCCAGGATCGCACCCTGGGCCAAAGGCAGGCACCAAACTGCTGCGCCACCCAGGGATCCCCAAATAAAATATTTTTTAAAAAATGTTGTTTCATTATCTTCCCGTCTTCTTTTTCTTTTTTAAGAAGTCAACTGTATTTGTAACATTGTCCCCTATATGCACTGTGTTATTTTTCTCTGGCTGTTCTCTCTATTTTTGGATTTCAGCAATTTGACTATGATGTGTCTGGGTGTCATTAATTTTAAAGATTTTATTGTTTTTTTTTTTTTTTAAGTAATCTCTAGGGCAGCCCGGGTGGTTCAGTGGTTTGGCACCTCCTTTGGCCCAGGGTGCGATCCTGGAGACCCGGGATCGAGTCCCACGTCGGGCCCCCGGTGCATGGAGCCTACTTCTCCCTCTGCCTGTGTCTCTGCCTCTCTCTCTCTCTCTCTCTCTCTCTATCATAAATAAATAAAAATTAAAAAAAAATAAAATAAAAATCTCTCGTTTGTTAAAAAAAAAAAAACAAACAGAAGAAGCTCTGTGGACCTCTCCACCATCCTCTGCCCTAGTGGTTAGTCGATTCCTGGTTAGGAATCGATTAGGAAATGATTCTAACCTAATCTTTCTTGTTGCTGATGAGCTTGGCTTACTTAGTCTGTTTAAATCAAGAAGGCGGAGCACCTGCGTGGCTCAGTGGCTGAGCATCTGCCTTTGGTTCAGGTCATGATTCCGGGATCCGGAAATCGAGTCCCACATCAGGCTCCCGGCACGGAGCCTGCTTCTCCCTCTGTCTGTGTCTCTGCCTCTCTCTCTCTGTGTCTCTCATGAATAAATAAATATATTTAAAAAGGAGAAAAAAAAAAGGGACGTCTGGGTGTCTCAGCGGTTGAGCATCTGCCTTTGGCTCAGGCGTGATCCCAGAGTCCCCAGATCGAGTCCCTCATGGGGCTCTTTGCATGGAGCCTGCTTCTCTTCCCTCTTCCTATGTCTCTGCCTCTCTCTCTGTGTCTCTCATGAATAAATAAATAAAATCTTAAAAAAATAAAAAATAAATCAAGAAGGCATAGGAAGGAGACCTAGGCTTCCACAACCTCATTTTGGACTGTTTTCTCTTCCAGCCCTTAACCTCAATAGAAACCTCCTCAGACTCTGCCACCCAGGTCTCAGACTCCCCAGAGTCTCTGCTGAGCAGGACCGGGACAACCAGCTCTGAACGCAGCAGCCCCGAGATGGATAAGGCGGTCTCCCTTAAATACAAGCACCACTACACCCCCCAGCACCTCATCCAGGGTAAAATAGCAAAAATTTCTCTTCCAACCAAATCCCAGACCTTCTTAGGAAGTCTGAACCGAAAGCGGACTTCACTGAAGAACGACAGGAGGAAGCAGCATCCGATGTCAGAGCTCTTCACCAAGGTTCAACCGAGGGAGAAACTTTCCCTGTTCCCAGCTTACTACAACCCGAAGCTGATGCTGAATAGCAAGTCACGTGAGTGCCAGTGTGTCCAGGCCTGTCCAGGGGACCGGGTAACTAACACAACCAGTCCTCCTCGTCTTTGCAGAGAGCCCAGTTTGGGGGAATTGGGGGAGATGCAGCCCCTGCCTGCAGGGAGACCCCCACCTGATAGTGGAGACATAGGCCACATCCTTAGGGGATCTCAGGTCTTATTGAAATACAAAAAAAAAAAAAAAATGGTGGAGGGTACCTGGGTGGCTCAGTGGTTAAGCATCTGCCTTTGGCTAGGTCGTGATCCCGGGGTCCTGAGATTGAGTCCCCCATCGAGCTCCCCACAGGGAGCCTGCTTCTCCCTCTGCCTATGTCTCTGCCCTTCTTCCTTTGTCTTTCATGAATAAATAAATAAAATCTTTTAAAAAAAGAAAAGAAAACACACACAAAAAAAAGGGTAAACACAGAATGCTTTTGACAAGTACCCTGTTCCACGTTTCCTGGTTGTCACTCAGGTGAGGCACATGCAGCTCAGTCTGCATCAGTTAAGGGGCATGTCGTGGCTGTTTGTGATTCAGGAACTTCAGCTGGTTTTTAAGCCAGGGGACCCTTGTGGGAGGTGGCCTCCCGCCCGCAACGTGTGCCCAGTCCAGCAACACAAATACCTGATGCCTATCACTTCACCTTTCCAGAAAACCGCTCCCCGCCCTGGGAGGGCTACTTCAGCAGCCGGAGCTCTGGTGAGAAGAAACAGCTGTGTGTGTCCTCCGTGCTCCTCCTGAATGATCCTCCCAGCCCTGACGTGTCTCTGAATGATCTGCTGGTGGTGGCCACCCCGGCCCGACTGGATCCCAGGCCTGGCAGGAGCCATAGTGGTGCCATGAGAGGCCCGTGTGTGCAGGAGCAGGAAGCATACAGCCACGGCCTGATCTCTGGCCAGAAAGGATGTGAGAGGGACTAGGTAGGCCCACCCATGTTCCCTTCATGTGCTTGTTTCATTGGCAGGCACCACGTGTATATTTCTGGAACATCAGGTAGGTAGGTAGATGATTGGATGAATAAAGACATACAGGTAAGTAAATAATTAAGACAGACCTCAGTCATAATGTGGCCCCCTTGCAATGTATAAATCTGCCATGACCACTCTGTCCCCACTGCTTTGGGGGTGCTTAGCTTGTCTTCCACTTATGGCTAAAATTGAGAGTCGTTAACATTGATCCCAGAAGTAGAAACATGAGGGATTGATTACCACACCTTTCATTCCGCCTCAGTCCAGGTCTCTTGCCCCAAAAGCTGGCCCTCTAATGACATGCACAGAAGGGACAATACAACAGGACAATGGAACCTGAGGAGATCTGAAAACAAAGACCCTGGAGAAGCTTTGATCCCACTATGTGCAAGGACAGAGGAGATAGCAAGGAGCCCTCTGTGATGAGCTTGGCTAATTTAGTCTGTTTAAATCAAGAAGGCATAGGAAGAAGCCCTAGGTTTCCACAACCTCATTTTGTGGGATCCAAATGATCAAGGCTGGTATATACCAATTTAGGAGAGCTCGACAGCATAGCGTGGTGTGAAGAAGGGGGGCTTATGCCGCTTGGCTACCTAGAAAGGAAGGCTGTGCTTTTTATTTTATTTTATTTTTTATTTATTTTTTAATTTTTATTTTATTTAATTTATGATAGGCACACACAGAGAGAGAGGCAGAGACATAGGCAGAGGGAGAAGCAGGCTCCATGCACCAGGAGCCCGACGTGGGATTCGATCCGGCGTCTCCAGGATCGCACCCTGAGCCAAAGGCAGGCGCCAAACCGCTGCGCCACCCAGGGATCCCAAGGCTGTGCTTTTTAAAAAGATTTTATTTATTTATTTGAGAGAGAGAGAGAGCACATGTACGTGAGCAGGGCGGAGAGGCAGAGGCAGAGAGAGAAGCAGACTCCCCACTGAGCAGGGAGCCGGACCTGGGGCTCCATCCCGGGACCCTGAGATCATGACCTGAGCCGAAGGCAGATGCTTAATGAAGTGAGCCACCCAGCACTCCAAGGCTCTGCATTCTAATCATCACCCTCACTCCTGCCACTAAAGCAGACTGTGACCACCAGTTTGACTGGGCCCCTTCATGACCAGTAGCTCACACTGCAGAAGGGTGGGCCAGTAAACACTTTGGGTGCTTGTAAAAATGCATATCCCAGGGCCTGCTTCCAGAAATTCTGATTCAATAAGTCCTAGTAGGGGCCCAAGAATTTGCATTTGAGAAGGTCTTCTTTATGATTCTGATGCCCTTCTCACCACCCTCAAAGAAAAAGTGGGCCTGGTGTTTCCTAAACTTCCTTGGCAATACAAATCATGGGGGGGCCTTGTTAAGCCTATTGCTTTCTGGGTGACACCCCTGAAAATTGACACAAGAGGCTTGAGATGAGGCCCTGGGCATCTGTCTCTTAAATAAGTACCTCAGGTGTGGTAGTGAGGACTGTCCTACATCTAGACCCAGGCCTGGACAGAGGAACCTGTGATAGCCAGGCCTGACCTATGGGCCTGATATTAGAACAAAACTCCCTGATCCTTATGGAGCTCAAACCTACCCCTACTATCTTTGGTTTGTAATTTTCTAGTACTAAAATTTAAAAAAAAATTTTTTTAGATTTATTTATTTATTTTAGAGAGAGAGAAAGAGAGAGAAACTGCATGTATAAGTATGTGCAGGTGCAGGTGGCCAAGCCAACCAAGGGAAGGGGCAGAAGGAAAGAATCTCAAGCAGATTTCCAGATGAGCATGGAGTCCCACCCGGGGCTCAGTCTCATAACCCTGAGATCATGACCTGAGCCAAAATCAAGAGTCGGATGCCTAACCAACTGAGCCACCCAGGTACCCCAAATTCAAAATTTAAGTGAAGATATGGTTACTTATTTTTTTTAATTTTTATTTATTTATGATAGTCACACACAGAGAGAGAGAGAGGCAGAGAGAGAAGCAGGCTCCATGCACCGGGAGCCCGACGTGGGATTCGATCCCGCATCTCCAGGATCGCGCCCTGGGCCAAAGGCAGGCGCTAAACCGCTGCGCCACCCAGGGATCCCTATATGGTTACTTATTTATTGCTATTTATGCTCCCATTGTTAAGAAAGGGGGGGGTGATGTAGCAGATTACAGTGAAAAATTTATTCAATGTGACTGTTACAATGAAGTTATAATGATCAGAAGCCACACAGGGAAAGAGAGAAGATCATTATATTAAGAGAGAGTGATAAAGGGCTTCTTGAATTGACTATTGAATTTGGCTTAGAATCTCTTTTTTTTTTAGTTTTTTTAAAAAGAGATTTTATTTATTTATTCCTGATAGACATAGAGAGAGAGAGAGAGGCAGAGACACAGGCAGAGGGAGAAGCAGGTTCCATACCGGGAGCCCGACGTGGGACTCAATCCTGGGACTCCAGGATCACCGCCTGGCCAAAGGCAGGCGCCAAACCGCTGAGCCACCCAGGAATCCCCTGGCTCAGAATCTCTTAAACAGAAAAGGCCAAACAAAGCATTCTGTTTGGGTCTTTCTTGTCTCTCCAATAAAAATAGAGACTCCCTTAAGGATATGGACTATGGGGACACCTGGGTGACTCGGTGGTTGAACGCCTGCCTTTGGCTCAGGGCGTGATCCCAGGATCCAAGATCCAGGATCGAGTCCAGAAGCCTGCTTCTCCCTCTGCCCATATCTCTGCTTCTCTCTCTGTGTGTCTCTTTGAATAAATAAATAAAATCCTAAAAAAAATTTTTTTTTTAAAAGTATATGGACTATGTCTCTACTGTCAGACTGGGGTCTTCCTGAAGGCAGGGGCTGCATCTCCCCTGCTAAGCCCAGACTGGGAGCTCCTCAAAGATTAGGGCTATTGGTCACTTCATCCCCTGGGCTCTTGGTATATCCTTGTACATACTGGTATTTAAAAAAAATTATGTATTTATTTTTAGACAGAGTGCGCGTTCTTGGGGACAGGGACAGAGGGAGAGAGAATCTCAAGCAGACTCCACACTGAGTGTGGAGCTGGACTTGGGGCTTGATCTCATGACCCTGAGATCATGACCTGAGTCAGAACCAAGAGCCAGAGGCTTAACTGACTGTACCCTCCAGGTGCCCCCATGCTGGCACTTATATGATTGGTTCCTCAACACCAGATTTGGGTTATAGTGAGCTGGAAACAGGGAGAGTTTTTTGCTCAGTTGAATCTCTGACGTCAGACACCCCTCTTTGTGTCATTCTTTAGCAAAGTCCAGTGTGGATTGAGACTCCCTGAGAGGCTCTGGGATTTTTTTTTTTGGCAGAGAAGTTTTTGGTATTTTCTCCTAAATGAGTAAAAATAAGTTCAAAAATAAAGATAGATAATTCCTTAGGAGAGACTTGTTGCCCTGGCTCTAATTTCTGAGAGCAGTTTGTCATACGGAGTCTCATATTATAGATTTTTACTACCGTAGTGTACCGTGACTGAAGGCATTGACTTTTAATGAATATTAATGATGGTAATAGTTACCCCTACTTTTTGGTAGTCTACCATATAAGTGTGCCAGCACTTATTTTTTTTTAATCTAATTTCATTCCAATCTCAACTGTGCACTTTAGAAAAGAAAAAAAATTGAGTCTCAAAAAGCATAACGCCTAACCTTTGGGAGGTCACACAGCCTTTAAGTGATAGAGCAAGGATATGAGTCAGATGTTTCTGATTCCCAAACCATACCTATCTTTCTTTCAAATGGCATTGTTAATAATCTTCAGTTTCAGCCTAAGGGCATAATAAATAGCTCTGTAGTGAAGGCATTTCTGCAGGTAGCAGAGGTAGCCAAGACCAGGCAAGGCCTCTTAGAATGCCATGGGGGTCACCAGATCTCAGAGCTGGCTCTCTGCTCTTAGGTCAAATGATGGCTTCAAAAAATCCCCAATTAATCAGTCCACAAAGGACTGACACATACAAGGCAAACTCATAAAGTCTAGTTATATACAGGGCAATGCCTTGCTATCGAAGCTTTGATTTACAAATGAAGGATGAGGGCAGCCTGGGTAGCTCAGCGGTTTAGTGCTTGCCTTCAGCCCAGGGCATGATCCTGGGGACCCGGGATCGAGTCCCATGTTGGGCTCCCTGCATGGAGCCTGCTTCTCCCTCTGCCTGTATCTCTGCCTCTCTCTCTTGTCTCTCATGAATAAATAAATAAAAAATCTTTAAAACAAAAACAAATGGAGGATGATGTGGCATAAGAATAGGGCTTCTGTATAATAAGTAATGGTTGGGAGCACCTGGGTGGCTCTGTCAGTTAGGCTGTCTGCCTTGGGCTCTAATCATGATCTCATGGGACTCTTGAGTCATGGGACTCAAGATCTCATGATCTTCCTGGGATCGAGCCCTGCATTGGGCTCCCTGTTCCACAGGAAACCTGTTTCTCCCTTTCCCTCTGCCTGCTGCTCTCCCCGCTTGTGCTCTCTCTCTGTCAAATAAATGAATAAAATAAAATAAATAATGGTTGAATGAAGGAAGGAAAGAGTAGAGCAGAGATCTGAATTATGGATCAAGGGCTCTCTTGGCCAGTGTAATACCCTCCACACATCAAGTTGAGGTACCATGTCCCATGTAATCCTCAGGTCAGTGCTGTGAGGTTAGCAAGAAGACATCAATTTGGGGCAGTAAATGACTCGCCCAACCTCACACAAGTGATGCATTCTGGACAAATAGCATGATGTTTCTTCCATCGTGATCCATGTGAAGAAGGAGCCCTGACAAATTCCTGCATGTTTCTACTTAGATCACTATCATCTCATCATCCTTCCTCTCGATCTACTTTCGCAGTGGGTCAGCCACTGAGCCTAGGGTTTCAGATCTGTCAACAATTGAGTTTTAGGGGATAAATAGCCCACTTTGTAGATTTTAAGATGATTAAAAGCTTATTAAGGGGGGATCCCTGGGTGGCTCAGTGGTTTGGCACCTGCCTTCT